AGGGGGGAGTTGTAGGCACACGAGTGCCACAGAGCGCATGGGAAGGTCAGAAGAAAGCCAGTGGGTCCAGCATTAGCATCCGGGATAGAATGCAGGTCACCAGTCTTGCTAGTAAATGACTTTATCCATGAGCCACCTTGCCATCCCAGGGCAAGTCCTTTCTGATACTCTGCAGTTCAGTAAGATAGCTGTGGACCATAGTTAATCAGACAACTCAAAACAGCTAATGTAAGGTCAGTATTGAGAAGGCAGAAGAGATGTCTCAGTGGATAAAGCGTGGGCCAGGTACACACAGGCACACACTCAATAGATGTAAAAAAAAAAAAGATTTAAAAAAGATTTAAAGAAACAAATGTAATTTTAAAAAACCCGCTTTTGTTATTTTTAAGAGAAGAGGATGGGGAGAGAGGGGGAGAGAGAGAGTGTCAGGTGCTCTCGGAAGCTGGATCTTCCTGTAGACCCCGTTGATCTTCCTGTGGATCTTCCTGGGTGCGCAGTCGCACGCAGCTGTGAGCCGGGACATGGGTGCTGAGGCTGAACCCCGATCCTCTGGATTAGCGAGCAGCGTGCTCTCCTGACTACAAGGACATTTTAAAAGAAGCCCCACTTCCCCGTCTGCCAGGCCCTATGCTCAGCAGCAGCCACCACCTCCCCGCCCCCCCCGCCGCCCCCTCACCCACACGACCGCGGCTCAGCCCCCCCCCCCCCCCCCCCGCCCACACACACACTCTCCTCTGATGTTCTGAGAACTGTTTTTCTCTTCGCTGTGCTCTGGGATCAGCATAACGTGCTCCAGTCCCATTCATGTGGCGATGGTGACAGTATTTCATTCATTTATGGCGAATACTATTCCGTCGTGGCTACGCAGCACATTGAATCTATTCATCCCTACCTCAGTGGGTACTTAGATTGATCTCATATCTTGGCTATAAACATGGAAGCAAAACATCTCTTTGACATACTGGCTTCTCTCTGGGTAGGTGGCTAGGAAGGGGTTGCTGGATCACAGGGCAGTTTTGTTTTTAGTTTTTAGAGGCATCTCCATGGTTTTCCAAAGGGCTGTGGAGATGTGCTCATTTGCAGCCTCATTAGCAATGGATGAGCACACGCTCTCTCCACGCCCTGCTCCCAGAATCTGCTATCTTCTGTCTTCTTGACAAAAGCCATTCTGAAGTGAGGTGATATCTCACGGAGGTTTTGATTTACATTTCCCAGATATTTTCATGTGCTCCTTAGGCAAACGTTATCTGAATTTAATTCATGGGAGCATACCTAAAACTATCAGAAAAGAAAATTCTATAAAAATTTGATGGCCGAAGAAGAAATGAAAGAAGAGACTATGCCTCTTGCTAATCTCTGGTATGGCCAGCCAGGAGGAGCTAGGCTGAGCTCAAGGACGGCAGCCTTGGCCGGCGATGCCTCTGTCACCCCGTGCCCCCCAATTGCCGCACTTCCCCCATTCCTACATAGAGGCGGTGGGCAGGCCTGGCCAAGGCACTGCTGCTTCCAGGCTGGATCCAGGGAAGCAGCCACCGAACCCAACCCCACCCACTTTGTCCTGAAGCGTCTGGCTTATCCCCTGGATGGGAGGAGGGGGAGGGGGCTCACACCTGAGTGTGTGGGCGTGGCGGAGGGGTTAGGGTGTGCTCTGGTCTGCAGGGAAGGACAAGGTGGAAGGTGGGAGCGTGGAACTGCCCAGGAGGAATGTAGTTGAAAAATAACCCAACCGGGGGCCGCTCAGATCTGTGAGATCAGACAGGGGAAGCCGGTGGGCTGATGGCGCAGCCCCCACGCCTCTTGCACCAGTCTTGAGCCTGTTTTCCGGAGTCACTGCCTGGAGCTGCCTCTCCAGTGCCCTGCCAGGGCATCACAATGGAGGCGAGGCTTGATGTGGCCTAGATGGCAGGGGAGGGCAGGCAGCCTGCAGAGGAGCTGTCAGGTGAGATGCTCTACTCAGCTGTCCCTCATCCCTCAACGACGTGCATTCTTAAAACAGGACGCTGTTTCGCTCTTTAATTTTACTAGCTTGCTTTGTTTATTTATTTGTTTAATTAATTAATTATTCAATCAATGAATTTTAATACAAGGTTTTACTCTGTAGCCCAGGCTGGCCTTGAATTTATAAGAAATCCTCCTGCCTCAGCCTCACAGGTGCTAAAATTAGAGGTATGCATGGGCCACTGTAGACAATGCTGAGAGCTGCCACATTTCAACAAGTTCCTTCTACTTCATCCGCCAGCTTTGGCTGTCTGGCTGCACCCGACGGCAGAGGCTGGCAAGTGTGGTAGCTGCCTGCCAGGGTCACACAGTTCCCTTAGGACTTGGGAGCATCTTCAACTGGGAGAGAAAGGAAAGTAAGACAGTGGGAGTAACTGCAGCCTCCGCGACACGGTTATGTATGCTGATGTGTGTGCGCGCTGTGAGGGCACTGTTCTCACCACGACTTTGATTTCAGGTGGAGCTGTGGCCGCTTCTCTGTCACCCCTGACGCATGTCCCAGAAGCCTGGCCTATCGGCTTAGGCTTGCTTACCCAGCAACAGCGTCTCCATCCCATGTTTTCAAAGCCCTGTAATTTACTGCCAGCACCCATGGCTGAGAGAGGCCTTGTAAACCTGCTTGCCCATTCCAACAGCACAGGGCGGCCATTATGTGAAAACAGCTATGATACGACCATGGTTAATCTGGCAGTAAATCTTGGGAGGGAGGAGGTGTCACCAACAGACATCTTAGAAATGAGTGCCACAGCCTTGTGCTGCAGGGGAAAGCCACGTGTGCCAGGTGGTTGGGATGGCTGTGGGAGGCAGTGGACCAAGGGCTCGACCCAGTCAGCTGCAGGTGCTGCCGCCCCGAGCATTCCAGCTTCTGCCCAGTAATTACTACAATTTTTAAGTGGCTGGCGTTTACTCCCTCAACCATGAGCCAGACACAAGCCAAGATAGGCAGGGTTATAAAAAAATTCATCTCCCTTACCCTTCAGGGCCAATGCTAGTATCACTTCCATTTTATTGATAGGACCGGATGCTTTGGGAAATTAACTATGCTGCCCAGAGACCCACAGAAAACAAACAACAAAAAACAGAGCCTGCAGTTAAAGCCTGGGGCCTGACATTATACTTGCTTCCTTCATTGGGGTTTCGGGGAGCTAAACAGAGGATTTACGTTAGCAACACCACAGATCCAGGGAGAGTATGCTCTGTGACTTCCAGTCGACTCCAGAAACCCGTGAGGACACCAAGCCACTTCTGCTCATTTGTGCCTCACGAGCCTCGGAGCTCGGACCCAGAGATCTCAAGCTCGTCTCTTCATGTCCATGCCTCCCCTGACCACACTCCCTGCTTTAGGGCCACTATTAAGTTAAATAAAGGTTAGCAGAAGTAAACACTGTGATTCCACGACAGTTGATCCGATAACCAAGCAGCTAAGTGACTCAGAGGCGAGTAATAGGTCCAGGGTGGACACCCGGATGAGGGCTGATTCACACCCAGGAAGGGCAGAATGACACAGTGCAAGACGTCACAGTACTATTCAGTATATGGCCGTTGTCTTTGAGAGCTTATAGATTACTCATTTCTGGAATTTTCCATTTAATATTTTCGGTCACAGATGGCCATGGGCAGCTGCAACCTCGGAAAGCGAAGCTGTGGATGGGGGATGGGGCATGTTGTACTTCGGACTGCCCTTCGCACACTCCAGCCTGTGATTTAACTTTTTTGACTTTGGAAAAGTTGGCTCATCTTTCCCGGCCTCATTTGTTTTCTCTTCTGTAAAACACAGATTAAAAAGAGTGTACCTTTAAGCAAGCATTATAAATAAAATATAAGCAGATTGCTCGTTTTGCTGTACTGCCAGAAGGTGAGTTATACGAATATCACCACCAATGGATGAAAACGGCATTACCTGTTCCCAAGACCCAGATGAGGAAGAACAGAAAACGAGAGAAGTTAGCGTTTCTGTCATCCCCACACTCTCCACTCTAATATTCATGAATATCTTTATTATTCAAGCCCACACACACACTTCCAGCACGGATCACCAGCTACAGGCTCGCACACATTTATCGTCATTACCTGTTTGTCCCAAGCACCTCATCAAACCTGTGTTTCTTAATCAAGAATCGCATAATGTTAATTTAGAAACGCACGGTTCCAGGCCTGAAAGCTCCAGCATTCTAGGTGAATGTGCTGTATTCTTTCCTGCCTCCACTCCTTTGCAATTCCGGCCACTTGGGGCTACTGTGTTCTATTTCCCAGCCCCTCTTCAGTCTTCAGCACAGGCCGAGGCAACCCCCTCCGGTCTTCTAGCGATGTCTTGTGAAGCTCCATCTTCCCGCACTGGTTGGAGCCTACTTGCTTGTCTCTCTCTCCTGTGACACGGAGACCCTGGAGGGTAGGAAGTATCGTCCATCCTTGATGTGCTGTGTCTGCCTGGTGGAGAAAGGCCGCTTGGATTCAGGTTCCCACTGGGAGAGGACGGAACTTATAAATCAGTAATAAAGGCCTCAACAGACATAGCAGCAGGAAGGTCAAGGCAGCCCTGGGTCCCTCGTAGTGAAAGGGGCACCTCCCAACTCCTCCAAATGCATTAGCTAATTTGATCTTCATAAAAGCTGGAAGACAGGTAGATTACGGGCAGAAAGGTGGAGCTTTGAGTGGTGGTGTGATATACCTGAAGTTAGGCAGAGAGCAAACAACTACACGCAACCTAGACCTTAAGACCTTGTTCTCTTCCCCTTGAAGTGTGTGATAAAGGCCCCATCATCACCAAGTCCATTTGGCAAGTACTGCTCCACAATCTACTGGACACACCCCTGTGGCTTTATTCCCAAGGTCCGCACTTCATTAGTCTAGGTTCCATAATGAATGGTCTTTGACTTTGAGAAGGGAAGAAAGCAAATTTTACCCACCCACATCCTACAGCAGGTTGTCAGCGAGACCGATGGATGTGTTCACACTGGGCTTGTGAACAGTGTCATGCTTTCTCTCCAGGCCTCAGAAGATGATCCTAGGGAGGAAAATGTGGTTGAAACCGCTGTGCTACTTCCTGTGGATTTGGTCCTGTCTGGCCTATGTTCAATCCGTGCCTATCCAGAAAGTCCAGGATGACACGAAAACCCTCATCAAGACCATCGTCACCAGGATCAATGACATTTCTCACACGGTAGGGAGACTTGGGATGATGGAAAAGTCGGGCTAGAACCAGAGAGTCTGAGACACACCTGGAGTGCTTTCTGATGCCAGGTGCCTCCTGGAAGCTGAGGAGCTATAAGTCTAGGGTGCTCATTACTTCTGGTTTCTTGACCCCGCTGCCTGCTGGAAGCCAGAGCCGAGTGGTTCCAATTCTAAATCTGGCACCTGGGCTGCTCAACTGTGTTGCCTGTGTCACAGGGCTCCAATTCTAAGCCACCTTAAGGGACTTACCTTTGTCATATACTCCCATTAAGAAGCCGTAAGGTTCTGTGCCATTATAAGGCCACCTAGGTTCATTTTTACCCTGCTACAGAAAACCCAGCCCTCAGTGGCTAGCTGAGCCTGTAAGGCACACATCAGGCAGGGAGAACCTGGGTTCCTCCCTGCTCCCAGACCACTAGCTCCCTTTTTCATTAGCCCTCCATTACTGCCTCTCTCTCATTCTCCTTCCTACCTGAAACTACTCCCTGAACTCTAGTATCGGGACCATAGGAAACCCTAAGTGTCATGGAGTCCCACTGACAGGGACCAGATTTCCATCAGTATCTCCATTAGGCAGGAGGATCATTAGGCTTTCCTGCCTATTGCTCGCTCTCCTTTCACAGTCCCACGGAAAGCAAGCCTTAGCCCTCACAGCCAGCCCTCTCTGCAGCTGCTAACAGCTGTCCATGACCACCATGGTCTTTCTCTGAGGCCCAGCCGCCTAGATCTTCAGCCATTTCCCCAGATGTCTCTGTGCTGCATGTCTCTCCCCACATCTGCTTTCCATCTGTAAGAGCTTAAGCAAGTCCCTTAGTGTTTTTAGGACTTGGTTTTACCACCTTGAAAATGGTAACTCTGTATGGGATCCAGCAGGTTGTTCTGAGGCTTAAACCAGATATAGTGAAACACGCTCTGGTGGAGCCATTTGGAGATTTCCATGTCTCCTGGCAAATATGGATGTTTAACCATGGCCTCAGCAGCCCAGGAGAAGTGAGATATCTTAAAATAAAAGGCTTGTACATCCACGGGGATAATTGTCATCATCTTTCAAAAATAGCCATCAGGGCTGCACACTGGAGACCCAACTACTCAAATGTAGGTAGCAATGAGAGAAAGCCAATGGGGTGGGGAAAGTCCTTCCTGCTAACTGCAGTCACAGAGTGGGGGGCCCGACTCTGACCCCAACGAGGAAGAACATGAGAATATGACTAGGAGGGAGAGGTCTGATATAGGGTAGAAGGCTAGAGGGAACTTAAGAACTAGAGAGCCATGGCTGGTTCTTCACAGATGACGTTTGGAGAGAGCAGCAGTGAAGGGCAGGGTGGCTCAGCCTCTGCTGGCCACAGGAAACACAGGCCTGGACCCGGAAGGTGGAGAAAGAGGGAGGCAGCCCCGGCTCGCTGACGGGATGCAGGGATTTGGAGATGGGTCTGCCTGCTGAGCTCCCATTGTTCCTCTTCCTCCCACACAGCACTCTGTGTCCGCCAAGCAGAGGGTTACTGGTCTGGACTTCATTCCTGGGCTTCACCCCATCCTGACTCTGTCCAAGATGGACCACACGCTCGCGGTCTACCAACACATCCTGAACAGCCTGCCTTCCCCGAATGTGCTGCAAATATCCAACGACCTAGAGAACCTCCGAGACCTTCTCCACCTGCTGGCCTCCTCCAAGAGCTGCTCCCTGCCTCCGACCAGTGGCCTGCAGAAGCCGGAGAGCCTGGACGGCGTCCTGGAAGCCTCACTCTACTCCACAGAGGTGGTGGCTCTGAGCAGGCTGCAGGGGGCTCTGCAGGATATTCTTCAACAGCTGGACCTGAGCCCTGAATGCTGAGCTTTGGAGGAGCACCAGCCTCCCACAGAGCACGGTGAGGGAGGAAACCTCGGCCTCCATGTGTCTTCAGGAGATTCATGTGTGCACATCCCTCTTCTGGGACTCTGTCTGTTTCTCTCACTCCTCTAATCACCCTTCCAAAGGCATGACTCCACAACGCTTGACTAGAGACACACGGAACTCCATGAGCACTGGGAGGAGGCAGGGGTGATTCTCTCTAGTTCTAAAGCAAGTATAGATAAGAGCTGCCCTGTCCCTCCCAGCTCCACCCCTCCCTGTGCTTCCCTGTGGCCCAGGGGATGTGAGGAAGGGGAGGGTAGAGCGTTTGGAGTGTCTCAGTCTTCAGGAGCACCATGAAGGCTGCATGGACACAGCTGGAAACTCCCAAGCAGTACACATTGGAAGCACTTCTCTCTCTTCTACATTTTACTTTGGATGGATTTGAAGCAAAGCATCAGCTATTTCAGGCTTTGGGGTCAGGCCAGTGTTAGGGGGGCTCCTGGGGTGCTGTTTCCAATCCCATTGATAGGTCTGCCTGAGGCAAACCTATTTTGAGTGACTGGAAGGTTGGGGCCCTCCTAGCGAGAGCCAGCGGAGGTGGCTCTCAAGTCACCCTCTGGTGACTGGTTTTGTTTCTATCATGACTGACTTTGTGCAAACACCTTTGCAGTGGCAGTGCCTGGTGCGCAGGCTAGGTTGTCATCAAAGGTAAATTTTGTCAAGTGTGATATGTATCTACACCTGAGGGTAGGGAACGTGTTGGAGGGAGGGGGAAGGATCCAGAATGTGTTCTCTGAAAAAAACACATGGTAGGCTTCTCTGAAAGGGTGAGGGAATTGACTCACCTCCTGTAGCCACCTAGTGTGATTTTGTGAAAAGAACAAAGGAGTTGGCTCTTTCAGGGACATGTGAGGTGTACCAAGCACCCTTCGAGGGGGCTAAAGCTTCATTTGCTGGCATATTGCTGAGCTCAGGACGTGGCAGTCCTGCATTGAGACAGCGATCCCAAAGGGTCCCTGGCGTGGCCCTCCAAAGTTGTTCAGGGTTGCTCTCCCAGAGGGGCTCTCCATCGGGCACTGCCCCGCAGGTGTTTGCACGTCAGTCTGTGCTTCTCCTCCGATTGGCTGATCCAAAGTAAAACCACGTTTCCCACCCATCCTGTGGCTCCCGCTGGGAGTTCGTTCCAGTGGGAATGAGAAATTATTTAGCAGATGGTCCTGAGCCTTGGGCCGGCACTGCTGAGGAAGTGCCAGGGCCCCAGGCCAGGCTGCCAGAATATTGCCCTTCGGGCTGGAGGTCAGGTTCAGAAGGAAGAACCAAAGGGCTGAGTTTTTCCACCACCCTGGGCCCTTACGTCCCCATCCCACTGAGTGGCGGACGGAAGGAAGCAAGAAAACCTGATCTGAACTATACTCTAAAGACTGAGTGCGACTTTGTGCTCAGCCTTGACTGGTGCTGTGGGCTAGAGCTCACCAAATAAACCTGAAAATCAGGGTGGCCCGCGTCGCCGCGGCACGACCCGACTCACCGGCATGCCAAGGTGGCACTTGACCTCAGCAGCCCCACACAGCTGCAAGGCCGCCTTCAGCGGGTGGGAAACCACCTGAGCTGGGGCCGCACTGCAGAGGCCCGCCCTGCTTGCACGCCACAGTGTCTGCACACTTTCCAGGCAAACCACACCCACTGCTACTGTAGCACAACCTGTTGACACGGAGAACTGGGGTCGTGAAAATAAGAAAAGGGCTTTGGATTTTAGTCTTTCCAGGCTTAGTATATGCGAGTATATATAATGAGGTATCTTAGGGGTGGGATCCAATTATAAACATGAAACTCATTTATACTTCATAACCCTCTACACGCGGCTTGAGGGTAATCTTATTCAGTGCTTTTTAAATAATGTTATGTGCATGAAAGGAGTTTTCACGGTGTGAAATTTTCTACACGTGGCATCATGTCATCACTCAAAAAACTTTTGATTTTGGAGCATTTTGGATGCTGGGTTTTCTGTTAAGAGATGTGTAGCCTATATCTAAAACTGTAATGAAAACCAGGTGGCAGGACCAGACTCAGAGAACCAGATCCTCAGCCCCCAAGTGTGCCCCTCCAGCCAACTGACACCCTCTGAGGGGAACCGGATCAGGATTTGGGGGGAATCTGGGGTGGATTTTGGAGGCGGCGAGGGAGGTGGGTCTGCTGGAAGGCCGTTGGTTTATCAGAAGCTTGCTGTGTGGAGAGGGGAAGTAAGGCCAGGAAGCGACAAAGAAAGACTAGGGCTGACAGAAGAATGGAAAGGGAACGGAGAAGGCTGTATGGGCCGCGGAAGTTGGTATCTGAGGAGATCCAAGTGCCACGGTCTGGAGCCGAGGCCTGCGGCTAGTGTTAGACCGCTGTGGATCTGTGCGATGTCACCTTAGCCACTTCATCAAGCTGGACTGCCCCGTCCCTTTGCTCAGAAAACCCTGCAGTCTGGCTCATCGCCAGACTGTGAAAACTCCTATATGCAAAAATGCTTGGCTTTGTTTTCTTTTTAAATGTATAACAACAGATGTTTATCTTCTATAAACTCAAATAAATAAACGATGCCTTAGTGCTTTGTCTTCTGTCTCCTGGTGTGGAGGGGGCTTCAAGACAGCTGTTTGTGTGTGACAGGCCAGGGCCTGGCTGGCGTCCAGCCTTCACCCGGGGCAGCTCCACCCGGGCTTGGCCACGGCCAGAAGCCAGTTATTCAGGCGAAAGGATTCCCCTACAGGCCAGGGCTGGTCAAGGAGCACAGTCTCCAGAGGCCCGTGGGTCTGCAAACCATCCTTGAGAAGCACCAGGTTATTTTTTTAAAAATCAAAGTCAGAAGTATCAACAACAAAAGCCCAAGCAAACAATCAAACAAAAACCACACAGACCAACAGCACACCAGCCAGGCACACAGAGCTGGAAAAAAAAAAAAAAAAAGAACCCGGCTTATGGTAGTCCCAAACAGTCATCTCTTCAGCCACTGCAGGACCTGACCCGCTCAGCTCCTGTCCAGAGGGACTGTGGGGCTGGCTATCAAAGACCGCCATTTTCATAATTCAAAAGACCATTTCTCTACCAGAAAAGTCGCCAGTGTCTCTGGAGAGGAGATGCCAGGAAGGACCCACAACATCTGAAGTTACACAAACCTCCCTCCCTCCACATCAGTCAGCAACAGGCTTGTCAGCTGTCTGCTGGGTGCAAGAGGGCGTCAGTTAACCTACAGCTGCTACAACAGAGGGCCGTGGCCGGGAGGGGGAGCAACTTCTTTCCATAGTTCTGGGGCCTGGATGTCCAAGGTCAGACCCAACATGGTCAGACCCAACATGGTCAGACCCAACATGGTCAGCTCTGGGGAGGGCCATCTCACAGCCACCCCAGTGCAGTTCCCTCACACAGCAGACACAGAGGAGGGGCCCTGTGGAGGTCCTCCTGGAGCTCTTACAAACCAATCACTCCTGGACCTGGCCCCCCAACACCACCAATCTGAGCATTAGGATTTCAACAGATGAGCTTGGGGAGACACGCCGGTCCGCCGCATAGTTGTATACAACTTGAGGGAGGGGACCAGATCCCAATCTCCTCAAAAGAACGCAGACCGCAGAGGGTGGTACAGATGTGGCTTCAGCAGCCTCCTTGGGCCGCTTGAGAGTTCAGAGATGTCTGCTGGTGTTGGAAAGCCAAGGCCGGCCACCTTAGAGAAGAGACCCTGCATCTCAGCCCACAAAGACAAGAACCCCAGGCCCACGTCTGTCTCCAGCACTTCTCCCTGCGCTTCCGTCTTCCTCTGGCAGCCTCGCTCTCCCGCAGGGGTTGCAAAGATGGCCTTCAACAGCTCTGGGCTGGAGCGGTCCTTGGAGTCCATCACGGCAGGAGATGGACACCTCTCTCTCATTCAGTGGTGACAGTGACCACTGGGAGGAGGCTCTTCAGCCAGGCCTGAGGCATGCACTCCCCTTGTGGACTCAGGACACGGAAGCTCCATGTGAACGAGGAGATGAGAGATGAACCAGCAAAGCCCCCACTATATAATTTACACACACACACACCAGATACCTGCCATAGAAGCCTAAGCTCCCTTGAGTTCCATTATGTGTCTAACTTGGCTTCAGAGGAAGTCCTTGACCCCAGCCTCTCACTCCTGGGCCTCCTGCTATAGCCACCTGTCATTCTGCAGCCCAGGGCCCATACCCGGATTCAGCAGGCCTGTAGCCATCACCACACACAAGGGAAGCAAAGGTCATTGGAGATGCTGGCTCTCCATCCTCTGGATTGCTGGGGGTGACATCCTGGGGGGAAAGGCATCTGGTGGCACTGCCTCAGGGTGCAAAGATAAATTCTTGCCCCCAGACAGCTAGAAAGGTTCAGGTGACCCTGCCAGCCTGGAGATGCTGCTCCAGGTCCTCTGTGGCTGGGACAGGTTAAGGCCATCTTGTTTCTGAGCAGCCATGAGCCCGAAAGGCTCAAGAGGGCTTGGGAAAGTATCCACACTAACAGCGGTCCCCAGAGCAAAGGCCCGGAGGTGCTGGTCTACCCTCTGTGTTGTTCTGTCAGTGAAGACAATATTTGAAAACATAAAGTCTTACCATTTCCAGCTGTGGAGTTCCAGGTGTAAGCCCAGCTTTCTGCGCCTGCTGCTCCGCCTGCTGCTCGCTGCCATGCCTCCATTCTTACCTCATGGCTTCTTAGCTCTCTGGAACTGTAAGCTGAACTAGTCCTAAATTGCCTTTGGTTGTGGTGTTTTATCATAGCAACAGAAAATAACTAATACAGGCATTCTGTGTAGCTCCCTAAGGCAGTAGCTCACACCTGCCCAGCGTGTGGCAGAAACTACAAACAACACCGGCCACAAAGGACCTTCAAAGGGAGGTCTTCACCCTTCCATGTCTCATGAGAAAAGGCCAGATTAGCTGGTTTTCTGCACTGAAGCAAGCAACAATCTTCTGGAGAAAGTTTAGGGCAATTCACGGCCAGCTTGTAAACTACTTCCATTCATTCATTCTTCATTCATTCATTTAGATTTTGGTCTTGGTTTTATGAGACAGAGTCTCTCTATGTAGCCTTGGCTGTCCTAGAAGTGCCACATAGACCAGGCTGGCCGGGAACTCACTGAGATCTGCCTCAAGTGCTGACATAAGCGTGCACTGCCACCACCCGCTTGACTGGAGACTT